GAGAGATACATTTTACTATGATTGGTTTTGGAACAAATATTTGTATGGATTTGATGGTTGAAAAATGAAAAATTTTATTGGTATTTTTGGACATTACATGGGTCACATTTTAATTTTTTTATTGCTTAAGTAAATAATGAAATTAATAAATAAATGAAAATTTAATTAAAAAAAAGTAAGTGAAGGCAAAGTAGTATTTTTATGTATGGTGAGGACCAAAGACGCAACAAAAACAAACCATAAGGATTGTTTGAGTTAAAAAAAATAGGGACCAAACGCTTAAGTTACCTCAAACCATAGGGACCTTTCGTGTAATTTGCTCTATACATAATAACAAAATCATTTTTATTGTTATGTACTAAAATAAATAATTATTTAATAAATACAATTTTAAAAAATCGGGGTATACCGTATACGAGCCAAACCCGAGCCAATCTCGAGCTCCATACTATAAGGCCAAAACCAACTGAGCTCAAGCCTTAAAAATTTTAAACGAGGCGAGTCAAACTTGTATTCGAGCCTAGTCAAACTTGTATTCGGCTATGTTCGTTTGCACTCGTTCACGCTAGTGGATGTGATGTCACACTTGTCACGGTTCACGAAGGCGCCTCGTCATTTTTGCCACACTTTAGCCAAAACTTGTCATCTGCATGACGTGGGTTGCCATACTTTCCATGTTAAATATTTTTTTAATTAATTTAGAAAATAAATATTTCAAACATATTATTTTTTTAAAAACCTAAATTCCATTAAAAAACATAGAAATTATAAAAAAAACATAGAAATTCAAAAAAAAAACATAGAAATTAAAAACATCACAAGACCATTAGAAATTCAGAAACATCACACTAGATATTCAAACACATAACCCACTAGAAATTAGAAGACAAAGACTTCAAATTTGACGTCATTTAGGGTACTGCCTCATAATTTGCCAAAACTCAACAAGCCTGAAATCTTTGTCAGGTTCAACACGGTAAGCCTCAAGAGCATTCTCTAGCAAAGTATTTCCGTTTTCACTATTTACGGCTTCATGCATCACCCTACGAAACACAATGGTAAACTGAGTTGCGAGTACGTTTGCGTTTCTCCATTTGGCGTAGAGTTGATCTTTTCTTCATGGTTGAAGGGTTTGGCGGTTGTATATGCCGGCGACTATCCTCCAAAAAGTAGTCGGAGGGCTGTCATTATGAGTAGGATTTTCTGCTACATCAATCCATGAATGAGCGAGTAAGATCTTTTCTTTAGGAAACCAAACACGAACCATTTTTAGTGATGAGATGTAGAAAAATATGGAAAAATAAGAAAGTTAAGAGAATAGAATTAAGAAGATTTGAATTGGGTGAATGGTGAATAAGGATGAGGGTATTTATAGTTGAAGGTTGAGGGTTTAAAATTTGAATTTTTAAAGAAAAAAAACGGTTATATTTTTGAAATTGGATATTTTTTTGGGAAAGATGATATTTTTTGAAAATAGAATTTGAATAATAAATGGTAAAAAAAAGGAAAACATTTTGAAATTGGGTATTCTTTCTGATCGCTAAATCTCTACCGAATTGCCAAGCCGAGCTCGGCATGCCTAGGCTTCGGCCCGGTGTTTGCCGAGAATGTCGAATTCGTTCCCGAAGCACTGAGAAGCCTCATCATCAATGAGTTTAAACTGTATTAAGACAAATTAAACGAGTTAGGGGTATTTGAGATGGGAAATCTGCGAAAAAGTCCCAAAGTTTTGGGCCAGTTAATGATCTAGTCCTAAATTAAATTTCATTAACAAAAAAGGACAGGAAACCGGGTAACATAATCACTTTAACCCTTTTTACCTTTTCAGCAGGTTACCTCTTCCCTCAGGTTACCTTTTCACATGGAAGTAAGATCGAAGCAAGAATTTGTTGCTTCCTGTGGTAATCTCCCATTCATTCTTCTACAAACACATATATTCAATACATTTCTTATCTCTATCTCTATTGATAATATATGTGTTAAATATGCAGAAAACAACAATAGAGCAAAGAAATTATTAGGTATCATGGGTCTATTCATGGAACAACATTACAGTCATAGGTCGACCCATGACTCAAATTGCAGTTTCTATAAAAGATGTTCAACAATCAAAGAAATTATTAGGTCAATCATGGGTCTATTCAAGAACCCATAAACTGAAGTTTTGTAAAAGATGTTCTTTATCCCCCTCAAGAAGTTTCTGCTATTAGAGGTGCTTCTGAGAAAATGATGAGGTTTGTTAGTGAACTCGAAGTTGTACCTACATCTGTTGTAACTGAAGGACCATTGGAACCAGGTTTGACTAACTCCCAGTCAACAGATCGTGACAACCCTTCCCCCATCCCAATTCCATTCGACTTCACCTTCACCTTCACCATTGATGAAACAACCTTCTTCTTATGTCCCCGTTTTTGCCCTTAAACCACCCCTCAATGTACAAAGAAACATTGGAATCCCGTTGCTTCAACCCTTTCCACCTCCCACTCCACCGCCATCACTAACTCCGAATTCCAATTCCGCCCCGTTTTATGGACCATTGACCAGGGAAAAAGTTCGACCAAATCAGTGTTGAGAAGCTTGTAGAACACCATGGAGGGGTTTTATAGAGGAATGGGTGACACGGAAGGTTAATGGAGGGTAACCTAAAATCCTAATTATGAATCAGAATCAGAAAAAAAAGGAAATTAGACATTAGGAAGATGATGGATTGTTTTGAAGACGAAGAGGATCTAGTGTATATATGGGTTGATTTCAATCACCCAATCAACACATTTGAGTAGATCAGTGTTGAGAAGCTTGTACAACACCACCATCTCCATATCTCCTCCCGTATAACACCACCATCTCACATGTTACCCACCTACAAATCAAATGAGAGGAACTCCATATGGCCTTGGTGAACAAACGAGAGAAATAGAGGTATATTCTTGTTCATCTTCACAATTTTGGTTACCCACCTGCAAATAAAACGAGAGAAAGAGAGGGGGGAGAAGGAGAAACACATAAGAGAGATTTTAAAGCTTGGGTAACCGGCTAATCAAAGGTTTACCGGTTCAAAGGACTAAAGTGAGTGTAATAGCCGGTAACCCGTCCTTTTTCATTAATGAAATTTAATTTGGGACTAAATCATAAACTGGGGCAAAACTTTGGGACTTTTTCGCAGATTTCCCATTTGAGATTGCTTTTCAAAACAAATTATTGGCTTATTGGTTTTTTGAAAGCTTATAAGTCAAAAAATGTGTTTGGCAAACTCAAAAGTGCTTTTCGGAATAGCTTTTCCATAAGCATCAAAAAGCACTTTTTAAAAGCATGTAAAACTTGGCTTATTGAAACTGTTTTTGGTTTTTTTAACCAAAATAACTTCAAAAAAACATTTTTAAACCAAACATTTTTTAACTTATTGACTTATTGGTTTTTTCACCATAAAAACTAATCCAAAGTTCCAAACACTTTTTAAAAAAACTCTTTGTACTACCATTATAAGACAATAAACACTTTTATCTAAAAGCATTTTTAAAGTTAGACTAAAATGTAAAATTGATCCCCGTGGTTTGTAAAAAAATGTGGATGGAGTCCAAAAACTTTTCAACTTGCACCATTAGTCCAAAAACTGAAACTTTTTGTGGTTTTGGTCCTTGAAAAGTTTAAAATTACTTAGAATGACTATTTTGACCTTTTAATTTGTTTTTTCCATTTTTATGTATTCTAATAATTAAGTAATTGAAAAAAAAACAAAAAGAAAATATTATCCACCCCTCCCACCCCATACACCGATAACACCCACCTCCTTTACTGATTTAATTCACATACATACATGCATGAACTTCATCAATGAAGTTCTGGGAAAATTTGATGGAGATTCAATAAACATACGAACACACACACACACATCTCTCTCTCTCTCTCTCTCTCTCTCTCTCAACAAACACACACATACAAACTCTGATAAACCAGAATTACCCTTCACCCAGTTCTCATCCCTCTTTCCTTTATCCCAAGTTATCATCATCAAGACCTCATGTAATGTTCTTTCTTCTCAATATTGTTTTTTGTTGGAAAAAAATGGAGCAGGAACAAAGTAAACCTGTTAAGGGTGAAACAACATTTCAATATCTAGGTTTTTTAATTTAGTGTGTGACTGTGTTTGTGTTTTATTCTACTATTCTATAGCACTAGGTCAAGCCTGCTCCACCAAGTCAGTGACCGGAAAACCATTTTAAACTCCCTCCCTGCGTCCAACGCTCAGTTCCCACCTTGCCGACGGTCGTGAGGTTATACACCAGAAACCCATTTCCTCACCGTTGCAAATGGAATGACGATCTTGATCCTTTGATGATTGCGATGGAGAAGGTGAGCGAAGAACAAAAGCGAATCAATGAACCTGTGAATCAATTGAAGAACATAAGTGAATCAACCAACCTGTATGGAATCAAAGATGGACAAAATGAAGTCAATTTTCTGGAAAGAAGGAAACGAATGAAAAAGAGAATTCATGACAATAATAAATATAAAAAAGAAATTATCGGAAACAAATGAAAAAAAAGAATTCATGACAATATGGAAAGTAACTTCAAGAACTGTAGAAGGAAAGAATCGAGGAGGGAGGAGATCGACAGAGTAGAAGGGTGAAGTACTTACCGGAAAGAAGGGTGGCAGTGTTGCTGGTTGGTTTACCGGCTGGAAACGTAAGAGAAAAGATGGAGAAGATGAAGGAGTGGATTGTTAAAGAGAAGGTGTGGGTTTTGTGGGGCTAATATCTATTTTTAATTTTATGAATATTAAAATAAAGATTAATAAATATAAAAAAGAAATTAGAAGGGTATAATAGTCCTTTCAAACTTATCAGGGACCAAATCCACAAAAAAAAATCTTATTTTGGATTAATGGTGCAAGTTGAAAAGATTTTGGACCTTATCCACAATTTTTGACTAACCAAGGGACCAATTTTACAGTTTTGTTTTAAAGTTAAAAAGCACTCCCAAACACCCCTTAGTTGGACGAGCCAACTCGACTCGGACCGTTTGTTGAGAACAAAAGCTGCTTTCGAGATTTTCAATAATCTAAACTCCGAGTCTCTGATCCTGTCGTTCACAGGACCTGTAGATTTCTAGAAACTAAAACCCTAATTCGGAAAACCAAAATTATTGATTTTGAACCCCAAATGTACGGAGATCAGCAGGCAACTATGCCCAGTTTCACTTCATACCCGACTACTAACCCTAACCCTGATCCTAACCCCCCTAACGCTGATGCCTCGCTGTACCAGTATTCTCATGGATTCGATGGGTCGGAAATGCAATCCGCATTTGAGCTTGAAGAAGCTGCAGCGTCACAGAATGAGGTGATTTTTCAGATAACCGATTCAACTACATTTGAACATGTAAAGTTATATCTAGTTATGTAATTCTTTTTATTTGGTTTATCACCGATATGTGGTTTTCTTGCAACCTGGGTGTGTAAGATTGCATATAGAAATTCATGATTCCTCTTCCGTTCACCAGATGAAATGTGTACGCATTTCAATTTTGTTTTAATGTGTAAATACAATCACATAAGAACGTAATGCATGGACTTTGATTTCCAAGATAAAAGGAAGTGTATCATGAAATGATCGTTTCTTCTAAATTCTTAGGAAATAAGGTTACAAAGCTGTGTGATTGTTCTTTACTCTTGAACTTTAGTAATGTCCCACATTGATCCTTGACTGTTCTGAGAAACTAGTAAGGGTCTTCATATTTAACCAAGGTGTGAAGGCAAGGAACTAATCCAAATGAATAGGATATGAAGGGGATTTACGGAAGATGTTGACTGTAGGTGATGATTAAGCATCTGTTCTATATGAATACTATTATTATTATTCTCTCTGAAACAGAAATGATATGTAGAAAACAAATCCTCCAAAAACTTTATTCTCTTGCTTCAGTAAATCAAGAACAAGATTCAGTCTGCTCACTTCTTAACAATAACAAGTTGACTTCTATTTATACTAACAATTGAAGCCACTAAATAATGACTAACAAAGAAGCTGTTAAGTAAGAAGTGAAAGTGCAAAACTACCCTTCTAACGGCAAATTTTGATTCAAGTAATCCATGAACAATCTCCCGTTTAGAGTCTTTGCCTTTTGGTTTTCAGTATTCATTTTATTTTGGTGAAATGTGAATGTAATACCTGGACATGTTTTCAGGCAGCTGGCAACATCGGTGATGAGGCACAGCATGTGGTGAACACAACAAGTCAACCTGAAAGCATAGAAACCATTCAATGTGAGGTATGCAATATTACTTGTACCAATAGGGACATATTCGAGAAACATACACAAGGAAAAAAGCACATGAAGAATATGCAAAAGATTGCCATTTCATCTGTCATTGGACCAAAAGTGACACCACCGAATGCAAGTGCAACTTCAGTAGGAGAGTTGGAGAATAAAAAGCACTTGTTATTGCAAAATGGAGCATCAGTTGATAAATTGCTCTACTGTGAAACTTGCAATGTGGTATGCAATAATCAAGATGCCTTTCAGGCTCATCTTGCTGGTAGAAAGCATTCTTCAAAGGTAAACTGAATTAAGTTACACTCCTATATGATTGTTAGGATTAAATGCAAGAAATAGCAAAATGTAGATTTTTCAAAGTACAGTGCCTTGATAAGAAAAAAAATGGTATGCAGGCAATCATGCAGGGTGCGAGTACAAATGACGTTTTTAACCCCACATCAAACAAGATTCATGAGGCTCGGATGAATCCTGACCCTTTGAGGTGTGAACTTTGCAAAATCAGCTGCACCAGCTTTGAACTCCTCAACACACACCTGTCAGGGAAGAAACACCTCAAGAAACTTAGAGAATCAGAGCAAATATCAGATCTGCCCTTGACCTTTGTCACTTCACTGGACACCCAACGTATGCAAAATCAGGAGTCTACCGAGGGCAAAGCCGTCATTTCACATGAAGGTAACCCGCTGTCGTGTGAACTTTGTGGGATCAGTTGCAACACTTATGAGATGCTCAAAGTTCACCTATCAGGAAAAAAACACCACAAGAATTTGGAGAAATCAGAAAAAGGAATTGGACCTAACCCTGAGCCAGGGATGCTGCAAGATGAAGGGAAGGAAGAGGATAAAGTTGTAAATTTGGATGGGAGTAACAGGAAGACAAAGAGAGTGGCAAGTGATGAGGAATTGGAGGCAAAGAGGCAGAAGATTCTTCAAGGAGGAGCTGCATCCAATGGTTTAAGAACTTGTACTGTGTGCAATGTTGTTTGTAGCAGTCCGGCTGTGTATAACTCTCATCTTGCTGGTAAGAAGCATGCTGCAATGGCTGTGAAACAGGCAGAAACTGGATTGACTGGTCAAGAAACATGAACCCTTTTGTTATTTAGTAATCTGGATGGATGTGTTATTGTAGAAACTTGATGGAAATTGTGACTTTGAGAAGAATCTCGTCACAAAATTGGAAGGTTTTAGAATGGATAACTAAGGTTGTTATGATGATTAAATAATAGTGGCTGTGGTGTGTTTTGGAAATGGAAAAGTGGTTTTACAAAATTAATATGTTAGAATCGAAATTGACTCATGTAACCATAATGCAAGAGAAATATATGTTTATTTCATCATGTTTATCCACTTATTTTGTATCTATGGAACTGGATCATGTTTATGTACTTACTTTTGTTGTTATTGTTTGGGAAAATTCTACCAAAGTCTTTAAGTTATTACAAATATTTGATTTTTGACATTGCGTTATTTTCTTTCTTAATTCGGACACTTCGTTTTCCAATTTGTTTCAATGTTAGACCATTTATTCGGTTGCGAGCTGACGTAACAATTTTTTATGATGTGACAACTGACATGGCATGTTGACGTGATATTTTTTGGTGTAATCATATTATGAGTGTCAAAATTGAAAAAAAAAAAAAAAAAAAAAAAAAAAAAACTAAATATTAATGACTTTTATAGTTATCCAAAATGTAGTAAAAAAAATAGTTAGGCTTTTATATTCACATGTGATCAAATCTTTAGCCTTGATATTCATGCATCTCATTGTAACAATATAAAATGACTTAAGGTCTTTCATATATTTTGTCATAGCCATATATTCTAGACTTGTACGAACAATTCTATGTATGGATGCAGAAAACATTTCCAAAGAGAACATTAACTCTACTCCCTAACTCCATCCCATTTAAACACATTCAATCTTTCTGTCTTAGATCAACGTGTATCAGTCCTTATGTTCCAATCATCTTGTACTACCCCAATAACAATGGAGATAACACATCCCAAGTCATAGAAAGGTTACTGGTTCTAAGAACAATTTGTATCTCAATCATCGACTCAATTTTATCCTTTTGCATGACCAATTAAGAATGATATTTCTATCGGTTGTAATGATGTTGGTGCTAAAAATGTTAGAGCGTTGGTCCATTTTTCGTATTGTCGAGTTTCTAGAGCATCTTGATCATCGATTAATCAATAGGTTTTTCCATTTGAACCTAACTTTAACGAGTTTAGCGCAGGTAATCGTGTGACGAGTGTTCAAGTGAACAATTTCAAATGTGGTGGGATTGCCATTGGCTTGGCATTGCACACCAGATCCTTGATGGGGTTGCATTGTGCATATTTCTAAAAGGATGGAGTAACATGGCTCGTGGAGCTGAAGAAGTCTTGTATCCAAACTTAACCATATCATCTCTCTTCCCTGCAACAAGCTCATGGCTTGGAGACACATCATCGAGTCTAACTCTATCAGTGTTAAGTGAAGGCAAGGCTTGCACAAAAAGTTTTGTAGTTGGGTCGGATGCTATCGTTAGATTGAGAGATGGCATCGTTAAGTTTGGATACACGACTTCTTCAGCTCCACGAGCCATGTTACTCCACCCTTTCATAAATGTGTATAATGTAGTTCTATCAAAGATCTTGTGTGAAATGCACAAGCCAATTGCAATCCCATAACATGCGTAAAAATATGATTGTGTATGTTTAATTTTGAAACTGATAATACGAAACTGCACAAAAATCACTACATTTTTTATAATTTTCTTAAACGTTACTACATTTTAGTTTTTTTTTTCCTCAATTTTGACATTCAGAATGTGATGTTATCAAATATCATGTAAACTATCACATCATCAAAGATTATCACATCAAAGATTATCACGTCAGCTGATAACCGGGTAAACAGTCAACATTGAAACAAATTAGAAAACAAATTGTCTGAATTGAGACAAAAAATAACGCGAAATTTTAAAATCGAATTTTTATGTAAACTTAGTGATTTTTGTGGAATTTATTATTATTATTTTGCAAAATCAAAATCTCCAACAAAAACTATATAATTCACTAACTTTATGATAATTTTCTCAATTCAAGCTCTTGGGCATATTTGACTTGTATAGTGTCATTTAATTTTCCATATCTATAATTTGAATACAGCTAGAGTTAACAAACTAAAAGAGTTAAACGAGCCAAATTGGAACCGGTTCAAGAACTGCTTTCGGATTTTTGAGTTTAAAACAAGAACTGCTTTCGGATTGTGTCGTTCGCAGACTCTGCAGATTCCACAATCTAAAGCCCTAATTTCGTAAAACCAAAAGTATTGATTTGAACCCCAAATGTCCGGAGAACAGCAACAATTAGATATCACCAGCTCCTTTTCTACCCCTAACCCTAACTCTCCTCACGCTGATGCCTCAATCTCAATGTACGAGGATTCGCATGGATTCGATGGGTTGGGAGCCCGACCCGCATTTGAGCTTGACAGAGCTGCAGGGCCACAGAGTGGGATGATTCCACAGACTACTGATTCAACTACATACGAACATGTAAAGTTTTATCTATCCATCTATGTAATTTCATTTATCTGGTTTATCATCTACAAGCTTGATGTTTAAGATTGCGTATAGAAATTCATGATTCCTCTGATGGAATGTGTACGCGTTTCATTTTATTTCAAATGTGTAAATACAATCAAATGAGATTCAGATGTATGCACTTTAATTTTCAATTAAAATGGGGTATTCTGCCACTTATCAATATATTATATTCTTATGTTGCTATGTGAGGATTTTTCTAGGTTAAAATATTGTCTTGAATAAAGAATTACAATGATCAATCACAGCTCAGTTTTAGCATCATAATTGAATCAATCAGTTATGTTAGTTTTAAAACTTATTTAACTTTGTTGATGTGACTCAGCATGTTGCGAATGATGCGATAGTAACAACAAGAAGTCAGCCCAAAAGCATCCAGTCTATGCAATGCGAGGTATGCAATGTTACTTGTGACACTAAAGACGTACTTGAGAAACACAAACAAGGTAAAAAACACTTGAAGAATATGCAAAAACTTGCCATTTCATCTGTCATTTCACCAAAAATGCCACCACCAACACCAACACCCACACCCACTGCAAGTGAAACTTCAGTAGGAGAATTGGAGAATAACAAGCACAAGTTATTGCAAAATGGAGCATCAGTTGATAAATTGCTCTACTGTGAAACTTGCAATGCGGTATGCAATAATCAAAATGCCTTTCAGGCTCATCTCGCTGGTAAAAAGCATTCTGCAAAGGTAAGTGCAAGAAATAGCTACCTACTTTCATTCCTCTCTATAATACTAATAGGCAATAGCATTGTACTTTGAAAATTTACCCAAATATAGAAATGTGATGCAAATTTTACTGCTACAAGTAGGTAGATTTTTCAAAGTACAATGTGGCCTTAATAAGAAAAAGAAAATTTGAAAGTACAAAATGTTGTAATAGGCAATGATGCAGCTTGTGGTTACGAATGGGGTCGTTAACACCACATCAGAATCAGACCCTAAGGGTCCTACTCCTGAGCCTGAGGCTCAAACCAATAATAATCCCAACCCCATACAGTGTCAACTCTGCAAAATAAGCTGCTCCAGCATTGAAGTCTTCAACACACACATGTCAGGGAAGAAACACCTCAAGAAACTTAAAGAATCAGGCCAAATACCGGATCCTTCCTTGACCCTTATCAATTCACAACAAGGTAAACCCGTGTGGTGTGAACTTTGTGGGATCAGTTGCGACACATACGATGTGTTCAAAACCCACCTATCAGGAAAGAAACACAAAAAGAATTTGGAGAAATCAGAAAAACCAGTAGAAGGAGGAGGGATGTTGCGAAATGAAGAGGGTAAAGTTGTAAATGTGGATGGAAATGGAAATGGAAGTAACAGGAAGACAAAGAGAGTGGGAGGTGATGAGGATATGGAGGCAAAGAGGCAGAAGATTTTGCAAGGAGGAGGAGCATTGGATGCTTTAAGGATTTGTACGGTGTGCAATGTTGTTTGTAGCAGCCCTACTGTGTATGATTCTCATGTTGCTGGTAGGAAGCATGCTGCAAATGCAATGCTTGTCAAACAGGCAGAAACCGATCAAATCTGAATGTGTAGTTATTTTTGTAGATATATATTGTGAATTTGAGATGAATGAATCTTGGATAGTTTTTGGACTAGGAAAATAGTTATGATGATCATATTAATAGTGGTTGGGTTGTGGTGTTTTCTCATTATTGATGCAAACCCTGGAAACATCTATCAAAATCCATTTTGTCACAAAAGAGTCTTTGTGTAATTTTGTCTATTTTTATATATTAAACTTCTCTTATTATGTCATGGCATTATAGTTCCACAATCAAACGACACAAAATTTCACAACAATCAAACAAATTCTCTCAAAAAATATGGGAAAAGTCAAAATTGTTGGAGTGTCAAGTCAAACCATAGTATAGTAGTACAAGTTCCTATCATTAACGTATTACATTTAAATTGTACAATGAAGTAGAAAATCATGGGAAAAAAATGCCATTTATCAGTGTCGATGAGAGTGCTTTCTATTACTATAATAAGGCTCTCCACCTCTTCGGTTTCTTTTCTCTATAATTCTGAAAACAAATGAGATGACTCCAATAACAGCCATCCCATAAAAAGCTTTGTAAGGAGCCAAATCCAAACCTGAAAGATAGCAACCGAATCCTGCAACAAGGTATACAAATCCTTGTCTGATTTCATACCCTCTCATTCCTGGAATCTGAAAGAACACGTTGAACTCCGGTTTGGAATCACAGATTCCGTGGAGGACTACACCCATACACAGGATGGAATCCAACAACCATGGAAAGTTGTGCCCCATACTTAACCTCTGCAAAATAAAAAGGGAGACACCAACAGTTTACCTATTTGCCCCTTTTTCTTATTCTTTCTTCTCATTGTCAAATTTGCTTTTTTAATGTAAGAGTAAAATGGTCATTTAAAATTAATGGGAATCGGAGAAGGAATGGAATGAAAAGCTCTATTTCTTTCTTCTCATTCTTTAGAATTAATTAATTTTTTTTATATATAATGTTATTTGGATTTTAATGAGATTTTATCATGTTCAAATTTTTTTGTTTTTTAATGATAATTCTATAATTATGAATAAATAACATACATATATATTACATTTAAAAAATTCACTCCATTCCTACACTCCAACCAAAACATGATCCTGGAATGTAATGCCACCTTGGTCATTCCATTCCATCATCATTCTATATTCCATTCCAACCAACCACGGTTTTAAGTTGATCGAGATGTTATTGGGCTAGTCTATAACTTTGGGATTCTAGAAATGAAAAGAAAAAAAAAACAATTAAAATATTCAAGAGTAAATTACAAATTTGATCCCTGTGCTTTACAGAAAATCACAAGTTCAGACTCCAAAATTTGAAATCGTATTTAAGTTTGTATTTCTTGTGAATATATATATATATATATATATATATATATATATATATATATATATATATATATATATATATATATATATATATATAGTCCATATGTTTTACTCAAAATTGCAGGTTTAGTCCAAATATTGCAACAAAATGCAAACCTAAGGACAACATTGGGACTCGATCTGAAAATTTGGAGTGACGTAATTTTTGGGGCCAAATTTGTAATTTAGTCGATATTGAATTATACCTCGAACCAAGCAACAAGTGAAGGAAGAAACATGAGGAGTGAAAGAAGATGCAAGATTAGCAATCCATGTCTATGGTGAAATATCTCAAGTTGTGTATCACCATAGCTTCGTGTAGAGTCCGGGGTACTGGAGCTGTTCTCATCCACAGGCAATCCCTCCTCCGATTCTTCATTCTTGAATTTAAATGACGTTTTGTTATTTCCAAATCCAAATAAGTCCTCACTACGAGCCTTGCTGGAAGCTGTAAAAAAACTGTGACATACAGAAAAACAAACGATTATTATTATGGAAACTGGATATGTTAGGTAAGGGTAGAATTGGAATTTTACCTGCATAAGGCGTGGTGGCAGCATAGGGCATGGGAGAAGAGTAAGATAAGGAGACCTAAAGCTGGATGGACAAAGCAAACTAAAGCAATGGCAACAAGTGATGTGGCTAATGATGAATTGACATTTATAACCCTTGCCACCTGTCGTACAAATCATATGAACATAAATGGTTTCAGTGATTTATTTATACAGGTTAGAAGCTGTATTTGGATAGCTAATTAAAAATTAAATAGTAATTACCTTAAATGGGAAAAGGTTAGTGGAATTTGAGTTATCACCGATCCACCGTTTCCACCTGCAAAATTATCCATGAAAGATAGTTAAGGGCAAACTAGTCATTTAGGCTGATGCATTTGTTAGACAGGATGGAATGGACAAGCTGTATAAGGTGATTTACAATTGAAGATAAGAGGGCATTTTCGTCTTTTGCACAGATAAAAGATCGAAAGCCAGTTCATGTCCCATTGACATAAGTGCCCCTGTCCCACATAGTACACCTCTTTCCAGGTGGGACAAAACATGTACTTTTTGTCCTATTGGCATCAGTGTGTGTCAGTTCTGGTCTCGGTTCAATACATGTCAAACAAACACAGTACAACCTATCCAGTCAATCATATTGAATTAAGAGATGAAAACACAAATGTTGAGAGAGATTAACGGACCTTGTTTTAAAGAAAACATGTACTCTAGCAACCACATGGGAGAGTATCTGGGTGGTTAATATCAAAACGATTATGATCCCATTTGCTATTAAGTAGCAAATGATTGAAACAAAAAAGAAGCTAGAAACCGCAGGAAATGGCGATGTGCTTAGACATGAATAAAACAGAGCAATAAGAATGGGTGAAATAGCAAGGACAAGAAACGGAATTGGCATTCCAAGGTTCAATTCCACTGCAGATAGTAATGAAGGAACAGGCAGATCAAGCTCCCATGCATTTGCTTGCCTCATCAGACCAAAAAAAACTACAGCAAATGCAAATCCAATAATCTGCATCACATAAATCAATTTTATTTTACTACATTGTTTTCATGCTTGAATGACTCATTCCATTCCTTCAAGCCAACCAAACATGATAGTGGAATGTAATGACTCATTCCATTCCTTTGTACCAAAATCAATATAAAATGCTAACCTGGGAGGCGTATAAAAGCATAAATCTACGAGCACCAGCAGTTAGAGAAACAGCAGCACTAGTTTTATAAGAACAATGTGGGTCCACCTGCATATGGATAACATTTGGGTTAAAAAAAAATTAAATAGTTTATAGAATTTACAAAATTGATAACATAACATATAAATGTAAATTTACCAGTAACAGAACATTGGTTTTTTCAGATCCATGAGTTGAGGTCCAAAGTGCGGGTGATGAATCCACTTCAATTATACGAGAATATAAATTGGGAAATATGTGAATGCCAGCTGTCAGGTCCCACGCAAGGGCTACAGGTGGAAAGCATCGAAGCTTGCAAAGACCTTTCAGATTAAGAAATAGCAACCATCAGGACATATATATATATATATATATATATATATATATATATAATAAATGCTTACTGCCGGTATCCATGTCTCCAGCCTCTTCAACAGGAAGTCCAGAGTTTTTTATCCCACAGCCTGTTGTTTCCAGAGACACTGTAGCAGGAAAAAGCCCTAGACTGATACCGAATGTAATATTCATTGCAATAGGGTGATCCTCCTTAATGAAAATGTCCTGAAAATGTTTTAATCCAAGTGGGTCACTTGAACTTGAATGGATCATCAAGAATTGAAGTGAGTATTTCATGAAAGTAGTAAACTAACCTTCCGAGAATACATAGAGAGAAGCAATGAGTGAGGAGAAAACTGTTTACGCCCTTCTTCTGGGTTGAAAAACTGCCCAACTGCCATCGAAGCTGCAGGTGGAGGCCTCCCTGAAACAGTCTGGATACATATATATATATATATATATATATATATATATATATATATATAAAAATCACTGTAAGTTATACTATCACTTTAATCTTTGTTGATATAAAGCATCGGCGTACTCATATTGTTATGGATAAGGGTATGTTTGGTTGGATGGAATAAGCCAGGTAATGGAATGAATCACTACATTCCATGATGGAATTAGAACAAAAAATCAACCACCCCCTGGCAAAAGAATGAACCATTCCATTCCTTTCTTGATCTCAAGTCTCAACAAAATTCATATGACATAGTGTAAGGAGACATTACCGGGCTTGGTGCAACTGAGATAGTGAGGAATCTGAAGCCATGCATATCCTTTGATTCCAACCAAAAAACACCTGATGGTGGTGGTTGTTCAGTCTGACTTCCTGGTTCAATCTATATATAGAAGTGACATGACAGTCATACCCTTCATATTATTAAAAGAATTAAAGCACAAAAAGGGCAAAAGCGGAAATATTAACAACATACCTGCCTTGGTGCTGGTCCTGAAGGAATCTGCACAATCTTTGATGTCACTTCAACAACCCTTTTGCTGAGAGGCAAATCTGATGCAGAACTTCCTTTCTCAGGCCAAAGATGAAGTCTAACCCCATAACAAGGAAGAAGGTTTGTCACAAGAACAAACTTGTTTCTTCCATTTGACCCCTGACAATAGGAGATTATAACTTATATTATATGTATGTTCTAGCCTTAGCATCAAATATTATACATTTTCTTTCTTGTCATTAAAGCATATAATAATACTTAACTAACCAGTTCTTTTATGTCCAGCCAACGCCTTCTGCCATCCATTGCTAAAATAGTTACTGTTGGTGTCTTGATGTAAAGATCCCTTTCAAGTCCCTCATCACTCCATTGTAGTTTACTGGGACACCCTGGAAGCCAAACAAGTGAGATCTTTATTCTTATTCTAATTATTTTTAGTAAAATAGAAATGCTATAATATAAAAATGTACCAGCATATTTTCTCTCTTTGTGTAAAGGAAGATGTGATGAATGCTTCTGAAGTAAACCACCCGATTTTTGCCTTGGAAAACTTCCACTATGAAGCATTTTTGTAAGAATTGATAGTCTTTTCCTTGACCCAGAAATGGGATGACCAGTTTCAGGGTCAACCAAACTAAGAAGAGTATGTGAAACCTGAAATCCAGTTAACAAATTAGACATAGACCCACTTTTTATAAAATATAAAAACTTGGGAAGTAAGGCTCACTTGCACAACAAGTTGATTACACCATAAGATAACCTGGTGCTCCATTGATAGCCATACAGTC